GACTCACTTTAGGAAACCACAAACTAATCTTTCTACAGAAGGCTAATCTGGAAATCTGCTGTGCGCAGCAGGTCATTCTGATCTCTCAAAGGAAACTCTATTTAAACTTTTTATAGGAAAAATACAATGACCTTCATAGTCAGTGGTGGGTGTTATGTAAAGAGTACAGGGCTAGCTATCAATAACGTCTATGGAATGAGGAAGGAGGCTGACTTAGAGGTTTCTCCCAGTTTATGAGTGTTGCTAGTTTAAGTTGAGTCAATATAGTGTTGTGTTTGGATATGCACACAGAAGTTTTATAAACCAAACTTCCTTAAGGCTAGGGAACTCCCTTTAAATTGGGCACAACAAAGGGACCTCTAGCCTCTGCTTAAGTCTTGCTGGTGGCAGAGAGAGAACCTATTCTATTTTATACTGAATTGAAACTGTCCTTCAACCTCTACCCACTATTCTGGTTTTCCTCTTTAAGCCACACTGATAGCTGTATTCCATCTTCTTTTAAAATGGAAGCCAGCTAATGTAAAAAAAAATCATGAGGATGTAGAACTGGAATTCTCATATTTTGCTGGTGGGAGTGTCAACTGGTACAGCCATCTTGGAAAATTGCTAGGTGGCATCTACTAAAGTTAAAGATATGCCTAACTGTAACCAAAGAGTCCACTCCTGCATATAAACACAAGAAAAATAAGGGCATATTATTTTTGATCTCTATCTCACAAAAGACATGTATAAGAGTGTTCATGGTAGCTCTATTCACAATAGTCCCAAACCGAAAACAAACTGACAACAGTAGGATGAATACTTTGGGGGCATATGCATATAATGTAGTATGGCAGGATAATGATGAGTGAAAGAAGCCAATCACAAAATGCTTCCATTCATATAAAGTTCAAAAACAGGCAAAACTAATCTATGGTGACAGAATCATAGAGAAGTGGAGTGGGTAATGACTGGGAAGGAATACAAGGGAACTTTCTGGAGTGCTAGAAATGTTATTTTGAATTGGGTGGCTAATTTTTTTTTAAATGAAATCATTAGACTCTTGTAATTGTTTCTTCTTTTTGATAGGGAAAAAACCTCCAATGGTGCAGTTGTAAAGGAGTGAGAAAGACCTATGGCCAATTGTCTACGCACACAAGACTTAATGGGTAAGTAGCACAGTGCAGTGACTGAACGGGCTTAGGAGTCACAGACCTGGTTTCAAGTTCTGACTTCATCGCTTGTTAGCTGTGTAAGCTTAGTGGTTATTTTATCTAACCCTTAGTCACATTATATATAAAATAAGGATTCATAAATAACAGTACTGACCACACGAGATATGAAATGTAAAAATCTTAAAACCAACCAGCTATCATTTATTAAATACATATTATGTACCACAAACTGTGAAATACATTTTATTTAATCCTACGACCATATGAGAAAATATTTCCATTTTAAGAATGAGGAATCTAAGGTACTAAGAGGTTGCCCATAATAAGTGGCAGATTTGTCTGATTCTAAAGTCCATAGCTTAAGTATTACCCTGTGTAGCCGTTGGTATAATTGGATGGTAAGTGGATAGTGAAAAGTTGAATCAGAAACTAGCCTGAGTTCTGCAGAAGAGCACAATATTTAGCTAAAGCTTCTTGTGAACATCTTAAAGGCTAGCAATCTATACCTATAGCATAAAAGACTTATCATTGAAAGGGTAGCTATTTGTCCTGATTTACAGGGTGATTGTGAGGATTAACTGAGATAAACAGGTCAGGAAAGTACATATGACACATATTAGATAATTTAGTATTCCGCCTCCCTCCCCAATAACCACCCACCTCCTTCTTATTGTTTCTAATAATCTACTTGCTGGTCTTTTTTCAAGAACCACCACTATCACCCATTCCAAGGTAAGAATTTAATGTTTATAAAATTCTTGTGCCATAACAGGCACTATTCTAAGCACTGGGACCATCAAGGACTAGAATAAATCAACATAAACTCATTTCTTCACCTACCACCTATAAACAATAATTAGGGTTAGAATCATGTTTGGATGTCAACTCCTAAATTATCTAAAGTAGGTTATTTAATCTCAGACTAATTCATATTCCTATTAACTCATTCTAGTGCTCCTGTTCTAATGGGAATATCTTTTGAGTACTATTATATTTCAGGCACAGAAGGGATAATATTTGAGCAGAGATCTGAATGAGTAGAATCAAGCAATGAAAAAACCTGGGAAAGAGCACTCCAGGCAAAGGAAAAAGCCAGTATGAAAATCTTGGTGGCAAACAAGTTGGCATATTTGAAGCATGACAAGAAGCCTTTGGAGAATTGGCAGAAAAGTGACATGTTCTCATTTACTTTATCACTTTGGCTGCTCTGTGGAGAATATATTATAGAGGGGCAAGTGCATAAGGGGTACATAGTAAGTAGGTCAAAAAATGATTGAGAATTAATAAACAATACATTTATTTCTTTTGAATACCTTTTAAGACTTCCTGTACTTATTTAAAGCAATTTGTGTCATGTCACAGACGACTTCACTACAACACTCTGCTTCAATCACAAACCATATAAATACGCCATTCTTCTTATTTATATTGTAATTAAATGATTTCAAAATTCATTCAAGTAGTCAAATTTTGAGTTTTGTCTGAAAATCAAAGATGGGACCGTGAGTCTTTGTAATCGTACCCTCTTAAATATAAAAATTAGCTCACATGATTAAAAGTTCCAAACACTGCACTTTCTAAAGTATTCTGGTAAAACAACGCTTCTTTGGCATATGCAGTCCAAATAGTTCTAACCTTAATCAGTTTTCAGGTTTTAATCTCCACATGCTTGGCATATTCTGATAATACTGACAGGTTAAAAGCAACATTCTGTTGTATGCATAGCGATTGCTGCAATTAACCTTAATTCAGGCTGAAAGTAGACTGTTCAGCTGCCTCATATCAACATTTCTATATTTATTAGATAAATATCTCCAGAAAACTTTAGATTAAAAAGGACCAAAAACAAAATCTGCAACATCGCAGCCTTCCCTTACATAAGTTTTTTTCAGCAGTGAAAGTGCCAATAAGACTTCCTTGAGAAAAGGAATATTTTTGGCCTTTACATTAGAGTAGCTACAGTTAACAATAACCATAATGGAGATAAGAAAAATCTAGGTAAACAATGTCCAAAGCACGCATCTTACCTTCCTTCTGTAAAATAACTATTGAGTCCGCTAGCATTTTACTCAAGGTATAACCAAGCTATACCCCAAGTGTGAAGAACCCTTTGTAAATTCCAGGACCTCATCAATGCCTGATGCCATCATTACATTTCTTTAAAATATGTTCAATAAACAGTGACTATTATCCATGTCATCTTAATCTCTCAACACTACCTGATTGGTATTATTATCCCTCTTTACATGAAGATGGTGCTGGTTGGCAGGGGGGCTCAGAACTGTTATGTACTCATCACAAAACAAGTGACAAAAACAGGATACACTTAGGCCTGATTCCAAAGTCTGTGCATTTCCTATCAAACTGTGCTGCTTGGATGTCAAATCTTTGACATGATGGGTTAAGTTTGCCTTTTCCTTTAAACGTATCAGCCTTTAAAGTAAGGATCACGTCAGAAATCAGAGTAAGCGTTATCTTGAGGAGGAAGGAGGCAGGGAAGAAGTGATCTAGATTTTCTTGGGTTTTTGTTCTAATACTATTTATTGTGTCCAATAGATGCATGCTAATAATGCATGTTTACTGTGGAAATATTAGAAAATTCAGATAAGCCGAAAGAAAAACTAAATAAAAACCATTTGCAATCCTACCACCTACAGCTGTCGCCAGCTTCAAGTGACCTCAGCAAGACAAAAGAGTGTGACAGTATGGTCCAACCTAACATCTCTCCCCCTGCCATACAAACATAATTTCTGGTCCAGAAAGTGCTGCAAATGTCAGATGAGGTGGTGGCGGCAGAAAAATCTTTGGTTTTTTTCATAATAATCACGCTCTATTATAGTCTCATTTTAATATTCATAAAACATTTTAGCATGTGTGTGATGTAAAATTGAGATGTTTAAAATATAATTAAGTTCTTTTATTAACCAGCAAACTATCTGTTAAGCAAAAAGGTGCAGAATAGGCAGATAATTTCATCTTTACTGAAAACATTAAACAACATATTAAGAAAAGTCTATTACAGAATAATTAGCAGTATACTTCATAGTATTAGATGCTTGTAACCATCACATTTCAGGCAAGATGGCAGTTAATAGACCTGGGTTTAAATCCGGGCTTCACCACTTATTTCATGACCTTGGGCAAGCCTTAATATTTTTATATTTTTTCTTGAAAATATTTTCTAGGAAAGTAAATAACATTCTTCCTCTATTAGACAATGGCCAGCTTTAAAGGCATTGCTACATTTACTCAGATATTAGGCTCTATTTTAAAAGATACATTCTAAAAGAAATTACTAATTCATTCCTAATTAGTAATTTTTCTCATTTTCCAAATTTACTTGACTCCTTCTCAGGCAGCAAGGGGAAGCGGCAGGGAGAGAAACCATTATGGATGAGCTTCCTACTTACTCCTTCTTAAAACTCTCTCTTCTCTTGAAGCCTTCTGGAGGATACTTAGATAAATTGGTCAACTGTTTGACATCTGTTGCCAAACCAACAGATTTGCTATCATTCCCCAATACTCATAACCAGCGCCCTTTCTCCGGCAGCTATCCTCTTCTCAGTTTTGCTCTTCCCCAGCTCCTGGGATGCCAGGGGCAGCAGTCAGCATGAATAAGCAGTGTCCTAATCGCAGAGCGGGTAGTTGCAGGTCCCTGCAGTGTCTTATCCACAGTTAATCTGTACCAGAATAACTGAGAGTTGACTGGGGTTTTGTTTGAACTTGGGTTTGGGATATCTGACTTCATTTTTTCCTCCATTACCGTGGCTGAGACTGTACATTTGTATCAAAAACTTTAATATGTGATTACTTTTTGACCAAAAATGACAATTCTAGAGAAAAAAATCAGAAGTGCATATTGTTCATTTATTAGAATAACAATACCAAACAATAAGGAATTACATAAATAAATCATAATACAGACATGGAATACTCTACAGCCATTATAAATAATTTTGTAAAAGAATATTTATTGAAACAGAAAAATCTTTACAATGTCAAGGAGCAGGTTATGAAACAGCATGTTTATAATTTTTGAGAAAAAAAATGTACATACATGCCTGGAAAAAGTACCAGTACATAAAAATATTAACATTATCTTTGAGCTGTGAAAATAAGTTTTCTTTACAACTTTTGGTGTTTCTTGCTATTAGATCTATGTTAGCTTCCTAGCTGTCTATCAGTATTTATAATACTTAATTTAGCCTTACGCATCAAGGATAAAATTAGGGAAAAAGACACAGAAATTTTTTGTAAACAAACAAACAAAAAGCATACCTCCAAACTAATATTTTTTATAGTCCTAGCAGTCCCATGAACAAATGTTAGCCACAGACGAGATAAATCTTTGAAGTCTTAAAGAGGTCCTTTAGTTTAATACAGTGTAGCTAAGAAATCTTCCTAGGTAAAGAGGTATTTCTGGAAATTGTATTAACCCTTTCAGAGTATAGTAGTGCCATTTTTAAATGTTTCTATAGAAAGACTGTTTCTGTAGAATTCAAAGAATCCATCCCGTCTCATCCTGGAGGGTTTAGGAGCAACCCAAGGAATGACTGAACCATTCAAGGAATGACTGATTCATCTTACAATTTTGGCCACAGCTTTAAAAGCAGGGTTATCATATAAAGCATTCCACACAGAGGCCTTAACACGTGATTTGTACTCAGACACACTAACAAATAGCCATAACAAAATAGTGTTCTATGAAAGTAAAAACAAACTGTTCACATGCATTAAATGCATTCACATAAAAAAATAAGATGACACAGAAAAAGCATTTGTTAAAGAACTACATATATTAGGCAACAGGGAATTAGACAAACTGGAAAAAAGTAAAGTGCTCTTGTCATGTAAATTTAGGAAATTATTCTGAAAATAAAGACTAAAAGTTTAAGAGTGTATTGCAAAGAGACTTTATTTCTAGATTTTATCAACAACCCTGAGTACTACAGCTTATTTGAATAAATACTTTGAGAAGCACCTGCTTTGAAACAGACTTCCCACCTGGCCAAGTTAATAACTGTAACAATTATGAAAGACTCAAGATTACTTTTCAAGATTTAACTGCAAGTGTTTCTTATATAATTGAACTTATGTGGCTATGGAAGCTTAAAGAGTTTTAAAATCTGGGCTTACATGATCCTGAAGTAAATTTCAAAGCACTGTCTGCAACCAAAAAGATCTAGGAAATACTAGAAAATGAGTATTTACCAGTTACTTTAACTGCAGCCAAAATATCACGGGGAAAAACTGGATCCCAAGGGAATGTTAGCTCAAGAGCAAAGATGTTTGTGTTTTGTTCATTGCTGCAACCGATCATCTAGAAGAGTGCCTCCCAGATGGCAGACATTCAGTATTTTAATAAATTAATCATAAAGACCATTCCTGATGTATATTAAGGAGTCAACCCAAATTTACTTCACATATCAATACTTAGTAATTTCCCACCAAATAGAATATGTTACTGAAATTAACATATTATGAAAGTAACTGGACTTAAAGAGTATACTTTTGAGTAAAACGTGTGATAAAAAATTACAGTTTTTACTTTTGAGGAGCCCGGACCTCAGTAATTTTGAAATTGGCATGGCTGTTAACAAAGAACATGACAGTATTATGGAGACATAACATTTCATGTATTTCCATCTTCTTAAAACCCTTCTAAAACATGGTAAGAAAAACCAGTGCTAGTATTCAGGTGCTGCTTCCTTCAGACACTGGTGCATCACTTGAGGCACTTGTGCCAGCATCTGCCTGGCAGTGTTAACAGATGGAAGACATTAATCATCTGTTCGCTGTTCCCACCTTGTCCATCAAATGTAACTGCACTGAGCTAGGTGAGTCAGCATCTGGTCTTCCAAAAGCTAGTGAATCACTCCTAAAGGAAAAAGTTCACACTTCAGAGGCCTGAATCTATGCCAGAGGTATCCATGTTGCCTCAAGGTTTCAGACTCACTGATGATCTTTAGCTCCCTGGATACCATAGCAAAGACAGATCTGAAAGCTACAGAAAACCAGGTGGGTTGTCATACAAGACTGCAGTCCCAGGCAATATAAATGGTATTTGTTCACACCATAGATTAAGTGCGTTGAAGGATCAAATTGTAGAAGACAGCTACATTCAACATTTAAAGTTTTCTTAATAATAAAGCACTAAAAAATGTGAATAGGTCATACTTTTATTTTTCAGAAGGAAAAATGACAAGTGGCAACTTGTCTTTGAAAAAGAGATTAAGGAATATCGGGGTAATAAGCTATCTATCTCAAAGAAACAGTAGCCTAAGGAAGACTTATCATACAGCTCTCAAAGAAAATTCTATTAAATAAACCTCAGAATACTATGCTTTTAACCAGAACAACAAAACAAAAACATCAACAATGAAAAATTACATAGAATCCATAAAATGGTATGTGAAAAAGGAAAAAAAATCTGGAAATCCACTTGAGAGTTTGATATTAAAATCAACAAGACCCAAATCCTAAAACAGAAAGAATAAATACATTAAAACATAATATTTTTAAAGAGTCCAATGAGGTTATTACAGATGCACAATTTAATGCTTCATTTACTTAAGACATTTTTCTTACTCTGGGAACCCTCCTCTATAGAGAGATCATATGAATGATAATATAGAGATCTGCCTCTTCAATGGGCCCTTCAGGTTTTAAATTCCAAATCTGAGTCTGGAATGCTAATTAAATGTTTATTAATAGGCTACAGAAAATAGAATGGCTTTTTAAATTACATTTGCTTAAGTTTTACACATTATGTTTAAAAATAATCCATATACTTTTGAAAGGGACACAGCAATTTACAGTATGAAAATAAGGTTATGTGAAATGACACAACCCTTCTCATAAAGTAAAAGTAATAATTTCTAAAATGAAGATGCTTATTACAAAATGATATAGTCGGAGGGTTGTGGGTGGGAGGTGGCGAACAACCAGTGATATTCACATAAGATCTAGATTCTAGATTCAGTTTCACACTAATTGTGTCTTAGTCTCAACTTCCTTAGGTCCCAGTGTGCCCCCTGGTAAGAGGAGGTAGATGGATCTTTAAGTTTCATTTCAATTTTAAACCCAAAGACTCTTATAGTTTATTAAAAAAGATTTGAAAAACTTTTTGGATAATCAGTTGAATAAATTCCTCAGATCTTGACAAAACTTTTTGGATAATCAGTTGAATAAATTCTCAGATCTGTCACTGTTCAAACTCATGACAATATCTACAAAGAGTACCCCATAATTTTACTGTGAGAAAAGAAAAAATCTACCTTAAGGGCAAAATTATACTTGATATCCTATTTATACAGTACGACAGAGAAAATGTCTATTCCCTTCCTGGCCTCTAGAAGCACTTTCTGAGAGTCGACTGAAAACTCTAGGACCATGACATCTAGCCTGCCTTTCTCTCTGCTTTCTTACTCTAGATAGTTCAAAGTGAACTATCATCTAAGAAATATCCTGCACCCACCATGTTATATAGGACTTCTCCACTGAAAAGAATGATTATACCAGGAAATTGTTTTCCTGAGAAAAATCTAGCATTACTGGAAGATTATTTATTAGAATAGACTAATGCACTAGCCACGGAAATAAAAACCTTATAGTAGCGGAGCCTTAGAGAACCAGAGAGTCGAACCAGGAAGATTAATTAATGGTATCTCTGACTTCTCCAAGTATATTACCTATTTAAAGCTGAGGCCAATTAATAACTCTCTGGTTAATGAGCAGGGCCAAACTTTAGGTTAGATTAAATACTTATAATAGTTCAGGGTTGAGACTGTACCAACTTTCAAGTTAGGGATGAAAAAGAAAGATATAAGAATCATATAGACCCTAGGAGAGCAGAAAACTTAAGCTTTATTGAACTATCTACAATATATACTTTCAGCATAATCATCTTATAATACTATAAAATATCTTTTTGCTTTGATGTTATTTGTTTTGTGAACTTTATCTTTAAACCACATTCACTACAAAGAAACAGAGTCTGAACTGGGACATACAGGAGCAATGAGCACACATAAAAATGCTTTACAAAAGATTAGAAATATTTCAGGCATATGCAGACCTGTGTTTCCTGATAAGCAAAATGAGAGAATTATAACATTAAATGATCTCTTAAATTTCCTATAGTTCTTAAAGTGTCATAATTTCATGCAGATAATATACAACAATTAAGAGTATATGTCAACTATAATTGAAAATAAAACTATAAAAAAATTTTTAAAAATAAAGAACGTTTCATATATGTAAAAAAACCTTATATATACATATCACTTACTGTTTCTTTTAAAAGTATTTATGGATATAACTGTGTTTTTCTAAATGTCTCATTAGTAATACTCAGTCTTGTAAGTCTGGTTCCATAATAATCTATAATATAACTACTTCCATCTGAAGGTCCAACAATCTAGAAAAGAAAATTTTAAAAATTACTTTTTACAAAAGATGTTTTCACAATACTTTAAGTTTTTCTCATTAATAAAATTATTTCAGTAGCAACAAAAATACAACTCAAACTAAAGCAAAATACAGTAATTCAGTGACTCAGATAGCTGAAAAAAATATTGGGGAGGTTCACAGGACCAAAAGAATTGCAGGAACCAAGGCCTTAAGGACTGAAATTCCATGACCCATGAGGCCTTTGGTTTGGCTTCCCTGCCTCTTTGCTTGGATTTGCTTGCCTTCATTCTGCAGACAGGTACTCCCAACTGGTTGCCAAAAGTTCCAGATTCACATCTTTCTTTGCAGCTCAGCAGATCCCAATAGAAAGTAAAATTTCCTTCCTCAGTGTTTATATGCCAATCCCAGGGAAGGACTTTGATCAATCTGCTTGTTTATGCCCACTGCTGGACAAATTAGTGCATCCAAGGGAATAAGATTAATATGGTTGGCCAGGCCCAGCTCCCTGTGGGAGATACGGTAGTGCAAAACTGATAACCCCTCCAGAACCACATGGATGGAAAAAGAAGAGTGAGAGAAAAGAAACAGCACATACTCATTACAATCATTTTGTCCATTTAATCACATTTGTGACAATCCCGGTAACAGATCTTTACAAATTATCCTTTAAAATAGCAATCTTCAAACTGCAGCCTTAGGAGTACACAGATTTACCAAGGTATAGGTAAGCCTAGGAAGTTCCAAGGGAATCAATTTCGAGATTCTTAATTCTCATATGTACTCTTTGTAAAACTGATCCCCTTGATGCCACGCTATGTTAGAGGCCATCAGGCTAGGTCCCCTTCCCACTTCTCTTTCTCTGTAGTCCTTTCGCCAACATGACGACAGTAAAGCATACCTCCCATCAAAGCATACCCTGAATCTTATGATGGCACATCGATGGCCTTGAGGTATAAAACCCCGCAATGTGCCAAACAAGAGATAATTCAAAATATTGGATGTAGGTAAATCTCCATTAATAGAGTCCAAAAATATGCTCTGCCACATCTTGTTCAAAAGGATGTATTCCCAGTATCTTACTTTTTTTTTTGCTTAAAATTATTTGCTAAAATTTGTAACATGTTTATGCTGTTTTGATCAATTGTACGTCATTAATAATTACGACAATTCAACTCAGAAATCACAGAAAATTTAAAATCTTTTAATTTTAATGAATAAGATAACCAACAGAAGATTTTCAAGCATAAAATATTATTACATTAGGATAAAATTCTGTGGGAGAATGGAAATAAAAATAAAAATCCATGGAGAAAAATAAACCATGTGAAATTTACAAGGTATTGTGAAGCGTTCATTTGTGTCTTAAGTGAATGATACTTAAAATTCTATAGAATTTATATCCTGTTGGATACATTTTAAAGTTAATGTAACCATTTTATTTAAATGTGCCAATATCTGAAAACTAGAAATGATATCCTCTGCAACTAAACTAATGATGGAAAACTTAAATATCGACAAATATGCAGAGGGTAGGGATTTTTAAAAAAATTCTTTTAGGGGTTATAGAGCTGGAGTTTGATGAGCACTGCTATTAAGCATTCTTGTTTTTTAAAATAAATTTGGTCTTAAAAACTATTCAATAAATGTTTAATTCCTACAACATTCCAGACACTCTGCTAGGTATTATACACACAACAGTGACTAAGATGCAATATCTGCCAACAGGGAGCTTATTCTAGTGAACTATAAATGTTAATATTCAAATAACACAAAGCACTTATGTGCTAGTACCATGCTAGGTGCTGTAACACACTTTGACTTACTTTCTAAAGATTAAATTTGGTCTGACATTTGTGAATGTTATTTATGAATTTAAGTAAAAATTGAAACTTTTTTAGTGGCCAAAGTGACAAAGGAAACTATTAACCCAAGAAATAGAAAAATAGGTGACTAGAAGTTACATGTTCTGAGACTATATAAAGGAAATAGAAAAAAAGTAAAGCCAGCAGATATAGATCAAATCAAATGGTAATAAATTGCCTAATTTGGAATATGTGCATAGATTGGAACTGGGCCTACTGTCCTATTATCTTTTTCTTCTTGTGCCATTTCCCTTGACAATCTCACTTAGTCCTTTTGAAAATAAGTATTCAGAAGATGAAAATAAGGAAAATATATAATTGGGTAACCTTTTAAAATCATGCATTTCTAATAGCCCACTGGAGGCTCACTTGACTCAGGAAATGTAACTATTTAACTAAAAACTGATGAGGACCCAGATGCTTTACAATCTTGTTTAGTTAGCAGTTAATGTGTAGAAAAATGAGTGTTGTTTTTGTTTTGTTTCCCCCTCCTGTATAGAAAATAGCCCCCAAAGTTAGTTTTATTACGTAGTAATACATGATCCAATTCTGTATCTAGTTTAGCAATCTTTTTACAGCATTTCTTTACCCTCACACTATGTGACTCTGGTTCCTCAACGACGGGTTACATCATGGTAATTCCAATCCTCTTTCCAGACCTTGGTTCTGCCTGGGCATGTAAAGGAATTCTGGCCAATCACCTGAGACAGGTTCGTTGGGGGCTTATCTGCCCTTAAGAAGATATGTGTGAGAGCAAACAGGCCTTTTTCTGCCTCTGAAAGTAACTGTAAGGAAGTGATGCTAACCAAAGGACTTGATGGCAAAGAGAAGAAGAGGAGGCGAGAGGGGAGCGGGGAGAGAAAAGGGAGGGGAAGAGAGGGGAGGAGAGGAGAGGAGAGGACAGGAGAGAGGAAGAATAGATTTGGGTCCTTCATGATATCTTTCAGCTCTAAATGAACAAATCTTAGAACTATCAAATTATTAAAACCAATTTAAATTGAGGTTTCTGTTACTTGTAGTGAAAAACTGATAATGAACATGTCTTTAATGCCTCCTCCACACCATTACCAGATCCCCAACCACAGCACTAGTTGCTATTCTCTGCTAAAACAATTTGAAGATCTGCCACAAAGAACCGAATAAAGTCAGTGTGATAAAGCACTAGACTGAAAGGAGAACTCGAAGAGAAAGCTGACAACAACTAGCTGTAGGATTAATCCTCTCTGGACTTCAGCATTTCTTATGTATATAATGAGGAACAGAATAAGCTGTTCTATACGGTATGTTTTAAGATCTTGTACAATTACCACATTTAAATGCAAACACCTCTACAAAGTATCGTCAACATGCTTTTCTATGAACTATCTCATTGAAGAATTTGTTCTAATTAATTTTTAAGAAAATTAGCACCTGGTAAAGGCTTCAGTTATTCAAATCTACATTCCTGCACCAAAATTAAAAATTTAGCCTATTTTTAAGCATCTTATGTACACTTATAAATCCCCTTAGTATGAGTATATTATCGCATAGTTAATTATAAATCTATAAATCCATATCCCTGACTGGGAAATTTTTTACTCATTTAAATATGCCTATGTCCATTTGTTCATTAATGACAGAGTATAAAACCTAAATTATGAGTTTATTTCTCTAAGACATAGCCTAAAGCCAAACTGTATAGCATGAAGTAACTCCATTTGATAAACTGGGGCAATTTCTGAAATCTATGGGGAGAAGAAAGACCACTTACATAATTCATTCCAATTAATCAACCAAGAGGTTGCTACAGGTCTTCATCTTAAAAGAGGGGAAGCAGGAGGGCCACTACACTATATAGGAAGCTATTTAGTACAATAGATGTCAGTGTTTCTGGTGTGAAAAGCCCTAAAATCACAAGACAGCAACTTTACATCCCTCTATATTAGTTTCCTGACGCTACTGTAACAAATTACCACAAACTTAGTGGATTTAAAACAACTAAAATTTACTCTCACAGTTCTGGAGGCCTGAAGTCTAAAATCAAAGTATGGGCAAAGCCACATGCTCTACAGAGACTCTAGGGGAAAATCCATTCAAAGCCTCTTCTAGGTTCTGGTAGCAATCAGCACTCCTTGGCATGTGGTTTGTGGCCATATCACTCCAGTCTCTGCCTCTGTCTTCACACTACTTTCTTCTCTGTCTCTGGTTTTTCCTCTTCTATCTCCTATAAGGACACTTGTGACTGGATTTAAGGCTCAACCATAATCCAGGATTATCTCTTCTTATCAAGATTCTTAACTTAATCACATCTACAAAGACTCTTTTTCCAAATAAGGTAATATTCATGGATTCCGGGGATTTGACATGGGTCTCATTTGTCTTACCACACCTTCTGTGAAGATGGTTTGTGGTGGTTTAGAAGAATTAGGTGGAATTTAATTTCTTTTTTCATGTCATTTCTGTTTTTACCATGCAATTTTATTTGTGGCTTAAATGCAAAAAATTCTGAATTGTTTACCTTAAAGGGGTAGGTTTCTCAGTAGGTGCAAAGTTAATAGCAAGAAGAGTAAATAAGAAAATTTTACAAACACATATTAAAGAATGTTAAGCAGTAGTGACTAAACTTCCTGTTTTTCTGTTCTTTATCTTTGATCTCCACTCCAATTCTCTACAAAACCTACATGCCCACCCTCCGTAGGCACCCACACAAATAGGCATGCACTGAATTTGGTACATGACTTGGACACATATTTATTCTGGAAAAACATATGATGTTCTTTTAATATATAATTTTAATTTAACTGAATAATATGGTATATCTTGTTCAGCTTTACACTATTTTCACAGTACACTATGATTTTAAGACAGTTTCATGTAGCTATATGTACATCTAGGTAAGTGCTTGTAATTGCTGCCCAGTGTTATAGGGCAAATCCTCCAGGGCCACGGACCTTCCATGCTGTTAAGAACTGGGCTGCATAGCAGGAGGTGAGCGGCCAGTGAGCGAAGCTTCATCTGTATTTGCAGCTGCTCCCCAGCACTAGCATCACCACCTCAGCTCCACCTCAGATCACGCATTAGATTCTAATATGAGCACTGGTCCCTGGTGCCACAAAGGTTGGGAACCACTGTTATAGGCGATACATCCATCCATTCTCCTATTAGT